TTGGATGGGGCCTTGAGAAACATGTTCTAGTTGAAGATGTTCTTGCCCAGGGCAGGGAGGCTGCACTGGATGATGTTTATGGATCCTTTCCAATCCAAACTATTCTACAGTTCCATGATTTTGAAAGGTCTTCACGTCTGTGCTTGCTTATATTAGGACTTAGCTGAAACTGTGCATCAGATATACAAAACAAGATTTAATTTGATCTTTTGAAAACAGTGTGTTAAAGCAACCATGAAGCATAGTATTTTAATTTCTCTGAATTTCAAAGATCAGTATATACAGGATTGACATGAAAATGTAGGCATTCATGGATACACACTCTGCTTGACAAATTATTTATACCCTTTAACATTCTCTAATTCCTTCATTTTGCACTACCCAGATGATATAGAAAAAATTCTGATCACCTACTGAAACTCCTCAGATGTAGTACTGAACACTATTCAAGGCACAATGACTTTGAAAAAAAAACTTTATTATTAATTTTGTGTATCACGATATCTAGTGCAAGCATTTGTCTTGCTTCTGGTACTGTGGAATGACTTGCCTGTCCTGTGACTGACAGCATGTGCCGTACCAGATGGCACAGCTGGAGGAAATTAGAACTTCTTCATATTCCCTCTTTTCTCACTGAAGTTCCTTTGGGTCACATAGATACTGTTGGCTGCAGTAACATTATTGGCATAAAACAAAAGGAGTCCACAACAAAGCTGTCTCTTTGAAATATCAATATCATGAAACTCTAATTATGTGATTCAGTAAATAACTGCAAAAAGTAATACTTTCTAAAGAAAGCCTAGCTGAAAATAAGGTCAGAGCAGTTTTTCTATGAACTTTAATCAGTAAATATATTATTTATAATACAGGTTTTTTCCTGGAAGTAGAATTTTATTGCATAACCTCTATGATGATAATAGTTAGAGGAACACTATCTAACAGTTAAAATACAAATACCAGCATCATGCTAACTATTAAATTCACATGCAAAATAGACAAGAAATTTGGAAATAAGTCTGTCTATCTCCTTCTCTCTGTAATTACTAATATATAGTATCCAGTATAACAACACTGTGATGAGAGAGGGACTGGATAAAGGTACAGGGCATGCCTCTCCTGAGCATCTCATCTAGAAGAACACTCCTCTTCATCTAAGAATCTTGCAAGATATGTGTTGTGCCCTAAACCTCATAGAGTACTTTCCTCTGTTAAACTTGGCTACTGAGTTACAAGCTGACTACATAAACATTACGTCATGTAGGCTGACTTTTCTTATATACACTTTTATTTCAATTTATATTTTCACTATATCCAGAGGAAGACATTCATTTGCAAGTGCAGCTAATATAGATTTGAACTCCACAGCAGATCCATAAACTTTCTCTGCTAAGTTTTACTTTCAATTGATACTAATCAAAAACTGATTTTAACTAATATCTAAAATGTTAGACATACTATCTAAATATTTAATTAGATAATTTCTAATAAATATCTGAATCTAAAAATATTGCACATCCAAAAATAGAACAAATTTTTAAAAATTGAAAGCTAGACCTTGAAACAGATTACTCTTCCTTCGACATCGTATGGAATGGTATGAAGTCTTAATCCTTCAGAATGTAAAAGATGAGAGCACACATCCTCAATTTTTTTTCATGTAGCATCAGATTACCTCATTTTAAGGTTTAGTGAGATGACTTAGAGAGTGCTGAAAGTGGTCTTTGCAAACAAAGAAAGAGCTTTTTGCTATAAATGAACAGACAAGTGAGCAATGTACTTTCCTCCTGATGCTATGGCACAAGGCACATCCCTCAAGGAACCAAAGCATACCCAAATAGAAATAGTGAAAAAGCCTAGGCACTTGGACGTGCATGTTCCTGACAGGCTGATATAGCTACTCCCTGAGGTGCATTTGGGCTAGAATGATGCTATGGTTTAGAATGGGGTGTCTCTCTGGCCATTACTCAATGTGGAAAAAAAAAAAAAAAAAAAAAAAAAAAAAAAAACAAGAAAAAAACCAAGAAAAAATTAGACTTCAATAATTTCTACTGGGCTGCAGCTGGCCTTTTTAAGTTTTACACTGAAGAATACTGATGCCATTCTTGCACATTCCTTTAATCTTCCCAGAAGGAACTTTTAAGGACTTGAAAGTCAAATAAAAATTTAATTTCCTAAGAGAGGATAAACAGAAAACAGTTTTATTAACATTCTATGTTATTTTTTCTATTGGTTGCCAAGTTTTCTCTTTCTTCCTAATGTTGTAAAAAGAAGCCATTCTCCTGACAAAACAGAACTTGCACATATTTGCTTTGTTATAATCTCCAATTCCCAGTACTGACTCCACGTGAGAGACACTGCTAACCCTTATAAGTAGCATTTCACTGGATTAATGGATGTTAGCAACAATTCTATTGGACAATAAATGATACCATCTAACTTGTGGTCATTAATACTTGTATTGCTTGCCCGTGGCAACACACTGGCAGTGGCGTTCAGGGGAAGACGCTCTGCAGAAAGACACCAGAGGCTGCCCCAAATGGATACCAACAATTCCAGATGGCTCTAATGGACCAAGCACAGGACACAGCAAAGCACTCAGCAAAGTGTGTATGGTGCCACTCTAAAACCTGATTTAACAAAGAGGAAAAAAATCCACCAGAGAAAGAGGGAACATAAAAAGAGCGAGAAGGAATACAGGAAATATCAAATCAAAGCAGGAGGAAGTGGAGGTCCTGCATGGTGTAGTAGATCTCCACACTACAGCTCATGGAAGACTCATGCTGCTGCAGATGGATATTCCCGGAAAAAGCTCAGCCCATGGGGACCCCACATGAAGGGAGATCAAAAGGAGTGAGGATGAAGGAGAAGCAGCTATAGACTACTGTGTACTGGCTGTAACTTCCCTTGCCACCCTGCACTAATCAGAGATGGAAGAGGAATCTGAAATGAAGTTGACCTTGGAAGAGAGGGGAAGATTTTGTTTTATTGTCTTTATTTCTTACTACTGAAATATATCTTGACAAATATTAATCTTTCCAAAGTACAGTCTGTTTTGGCTACAAAAGTAAATGAGAAACAGTCTCCCTGTCTTTTATCTTGATCCATGTGATTTCTCAAAATATTTCCTCCCAGTGTCATGCTGAAGAGGGGGATGAAGTGATCAAACAGGTAGGCATTTGGCTACTCAAAGCTGGCCCAGGACTATTTTTCTATTTTCCCTTTTTTAGACTATTTAGACTAATTCAATATTTTAATTCATTAACCTGTTACCTGCTAATAACTATAACTATTTATCTTAGAGTCAACATTAGTCACCTATTATGTTAGCAAGGATTCTGATGCATTTGTTCTGAATAACACAAGCCAGACAGTATGCTAAAGGCCAAACACTTAGCAGTATTTCACATCATTCAAAAAAAGTGTTCCTTTAATTGTATGTTCAGCTTCCAAAGCTGACCTTGAAATGTTGATTCTGAGAAACTGAGTTTATAATCTAAATCAGAAGAGCTTGTGTAGCCTCCCTCCCAGATCACTACAAGTATGAATTGAGTTTCAGCCTCCAGAGAAACACAATAGATAATGTCAATATTTTTCTTCTTGACCTTTTGTACCACACTAACATGATGTTGCTTGCAGTTTTTACCATTGTATAAAGTTATTTGCACAACTCCATTTTTTTTTCTGTAAGTTTTAAGTGAACCATTAGGCCATAACCTACACTCAGTTTTGTGGCTTTCAATTTCATTGAACAGGAGATTTCAGGAAAGAAACTACATTTTAGACCTCTCCAAAAGAAACATTGGTCTCTCAGGCTCAGCTCTGAAAAGACTTACATGCACAGGTAGGATTCCATGCAAAGGCTACCCATAATGCATAAACATGGGTAAATCCTTGCACTACAAGACTGATAATTTTGTTTAATTCATTTGCCTATTCAGGACATATGATTTCCTGATTCCATTATGATTCCTTTTTACTAGTTAAATTCTATCTGTTTCATTCCCTGGTTTTGCTATGCAAAGGAGAAGAGGCAGGAGAATGGAGACCTGCACTGCTTATTCTGTTGCTAGCATTTCTTTTTCATGTCCATGAACTTTCCAGTGGGAAAGTTCACTCTTTGTTTCTGTTTTGTTAACTCAATTTTTTTAGCAATTCTTTTTAGATAAACTTCTTTACTATGAAAAGTCAGTGGAGAAAATTAATTACTATTACTTTCCTCAGAAGGGAACATAAGCAGGGCTAAATCAGACCTCACATAAGTTTAATCCACTCCAACATTCCAATTGCCTGTGAATCACCAGTTACAGATGCTTAGAGAAAAAGTAGGAATCAGTAAAGAAGAGCCTGACACTTTTCCCTAAAGATCCCTCTACTCACCCCCCAGAAATCAGGATATTAAGAACTTGAAAAATACAGATGACAGCAAAAATTGTGGTTAGGTACCAACCAATTATTTTATTTCCCCCTGACAATAAGTCTCAGAGCAGCTGTGGCAGAAAGCAGTTATGCAGCCAACAGAAAAAAAAAATGTTGGTGGATGCCTGGGAGTTCTTTTCTCAGTCTATTATACATTCATGCCATTCCTCACATGTAATATCCTTCTCAGAGAAATATTTGTGCTCGTAGCAAAAGACAGTGCTGTTTATAGAACTTTCTATACAGTTTTTAAATGAAAACAGACACAGGGAACAAAGTGTGTATGTGAATTTGACTACAAAGATGTACTTCATTTTTACAGAAAACAGCTATTTGCAGCCTGCTGCTTATTACCACAGTCAAATCCCCTTTAGGATCCTGTCCTCCTTCATTTATCAGAATATATACAAGTAAAATTTAGTCACTGGAAAAGCAAAACAAGGTACCTTGGCCCTATTTAAGTACTTCTAAGGCATTTTCAATGATATTACTAGCAAAACATTATTGTTAAAAACTTCATGGTATATGATTTAATCTGTTAAGAAAATATTTGAACATGAAACAAACATAGATTTTTGTCTTACTTCAAATGGGAGCTCTGTTATTTCCATATTTCCAGACAAATCCAGTTTTTCTAGATTCTCACAATCACCCAGTTCTGGAGGAACTGACTTCAAATTATTGAAACTCACATTGAGCACTTTGAGGTTTTTTAAGCAGCCTGTGAGGGTAAGATAATTCAAATCAGTGTACTTAAATTAAAAAAAAAAAAAAAAAGAGAGAGAGAGAGAGAGAAAGCAAAAAATAAAAGGTATACTCAGTTAAGCAAAAAAAAAAAAGCTCCTTATTGTGATGATGGGTGAGATTAATAAATATTTTCTGCAATAACATTTTGAGGGGCAATAGTGCCCTTATTTAGCAGTGTTTTTGGAGAGTGTTTGAAAGAACACAGCAAAGACTTTCAAAGGTCTTGTTTCTTCTAACAGTGAGATACCTCTTAACCTCAGCTGAAACTAGAGAAGTTGGCTTTTGGCTTGCCCACTGTAGAAAATTTGCCTGCCAACTGAAACACCTCTTAGCAACTTCTATACAAACTCCTTGTTGAGAACAATCACTCCTACTAAACTTACAGAATTCTATCTTTAGCATCCTGCATTGCACACTTTTGATTATATAATGTATGTGTGCATGTGTTTAATTATTTTCTTTATTGTGATTTATCGTATCTTTAAAGGCTATGATAATATTCTATGCTACATTTAATAACAAATTCTTTTGTTTCTTCAAATTTTAAACATTACATAACTGTCAGCAAAAGGAGGGTTAGAAACATAATTAAAATGCAATATCATGAAAAAAGTAAGTAATTCTGTGATATAACCAAACTGGAAGACATTTGAATGCATAAAGCAGCTAATGTGTTAGTAAAGGCATCATTAAATACATAACAAATTGAGAACTTTTTATGGAAGGCCTGGTTGTTGTATTACATGAATGATCACAGAATTGCAGAATCACAAATGGTTTCATTTGGAAGGAACCTTCAAAAATCATCTAGTACAAAATACGAAGTCCTGTCTAACTTGACTGAATACTTCCCATGGTGAGTCATGTGCAATTTCTCCAGGCATACTGTTCCAATGTCACATCACCTTCATCATAAAAAATTTCTTAGGTTCAAGCTACACCTACTCTCTTTCCATTTAAAGCCATTGTCCTTTGTGCTGTCAGTACAGACACTGGTAAAAAGTCCCCCCCACCTTTCTCATAAGTGCAGTTTAAACGTTGAAAGGCGGCAATAAGATGACAACAGAACCTTCTCTCTTTCAGTCTAAATACTTCCAGCTGTCTCAGCTTTCCTTCACAGAACTGTTCCGGACCTCTGGCAATCTTCACAGCCCTTCACTGAAGCCATTCCAGCAGGGTCATGTCTTTCTTGTACTGAAAGCTCCAGGACTGGATTAAGTATTCCAGGAGGAGTCTCACAGTGACACCCTCCCTTCAACATACTGGTCACCCTTTTTTTTCTCAAGATACTGTTGCCTTTCTGGGCTGCAAATGCATATTGCCAGCTCGTACCCAATTCTCATTCACCAGTATTCTCAAGTCCTTCTCTGTGAAGCTGTTCTCAATCCATTCACACGCAGACTGCACTGATATTAGAAATTATCCCAGCACATGTGCAGGATCTTGTACTTTCCCTTGTGGACTTCCATGAAGTTCACATGAACCCACCTCTCAAGTTTGTCAAGGTGGTCCTGGACCGCATCCCTTCCTGTAAGGATATCAACTTATATACTCAGCTTGTTATCATCTACCATATTTCCCTCTACTAACTTATTTTCCTGCAGTATTCCCTTCTACCCAGTGACAGAATACAGCATTTAGAAGGAAATGGAGAAGTAAGAAACACAAATGCAATTCAGTAATTGGAAACTGGGAGAGAACAGTATCATTGTCAGCAGGTTCTCAAAGTAGACTAGCTATTTCTAAAGCAAGACAAGACACACATCAACCAAAAACTTACATTAATCAGAGTCCCAGGTCTGGCCAGGACAGGACTAATTTTTCCAGTAGCTGATAAATGGCATGGCCACGACCCAAAAGTTATTCTATACTACCTCACATCATTGTCAGGAGTGGAAGAGACTTTCTTCCAGCAAGAAGGGGTTCTGGTTTGGCAAAGTAACCCTGACGGAGGGAGCCATCTGATTTATTAATTTTTTATTGTCAGGGTTGTTTTCTGTGTGAATCATGTCTTTTGTTGTAACTTCTGTCATTAGTATTCTGGTTGTTACTGTACATTTTATTAACTTATTGCTGTTTCTGGAAAATTTTTCTTTTCTCAGTGTATAATCTTTGCTTTTTGTTCCTCTCACTCTCCTCTCCAGAGTGCTACAGGGACAGGAGAAGGGAAAAGCCTGGGAGCAAGATGGAGCAGTGCATGGTTTGAAGAGTCTTGGAGGGCCACTGAATTCGGGGCATACCATTCCTAAGTCATATCAGTCTTCTATTTATAACAAATTTTTTTAAAGAATCTGGTGTTTCATTAGATTTGGTTGACACTGCCGAGTACAAAGTGTCCTCAAGTCAGTGTCATAGTAGTGCTCTTATCCTTAAGATATTAACATTAATTAAACTTCTTCCAAAGCAACTGTTGGCTTAGAGTTGCTCACCTTTTGCAATCTGTGGAAATCCTCACCAAGGGCTATTTAGTGCTTCTACAGAAAAAGACAGAGAAGAGGCATAGGGAGTAGAAAGTCCTACTTTTTTTCCTGAGAAATTGCTGTGGCCAAAGCCAGACACATGCAGTTTGCTGGCCAACACTAGCAGTCACCAGATCACACAGCATTTTACATAAACCCCATTGTTTCCCTTAGACACAACATTGTTTTTAAATGATGAATGGACCACCCAAGTCATCTCACATATGGCAGACAAGGCATATGTTGTGATAACTCTGTTACATTAATCTCTACAGATTACAACAAAGAAAAACAAAGTCTTCCACCCAGCTTCCTTCCAGTTCTAGCTCTGCCAGAAACTAAGGTGTATTTCAAAATTCAGCTTTCCTTTTAGCATGGTGACCTTGTTTTCCTTTGCTGTAAGCTACTGGTTTAGCTAAAATAGAAGAAAATATTTTTGTAAGACTACAACAGGCATTGTTTTGCCAGTACACTACTATCTGACAAGGGCCGTTTAGGTAATAAAACAATTTAATTGTGTCAACATGTGAGCTACATTTTAAGCACCTAAAAATAATAGCAGTTTAGTCTACTGATAAGGAAACCTCACCACATTTACTATCATAATGTACATGAAGATATTATATCACATGCTAAGTGTCATGACCATGAATTTACCACTTCATGCAACAAAATAATGATTAAAACAGAAATGCCTTAAAACTAGAGAATCAGAAAGTCATAATTCACTTCCTCAACCAGCTAATCCCGTGTTAAAGGAGAGCAAATCCCATTGGAATGAAAGAAGAACCACATATTCAATAGCCCTGGAATGTTTTGCCTGTTCTTTCACCACTGGAATATTGTACTGGTTCTGTCTGGAATGGAGTTAGTCCTTCTCATAGCAACTCATATGGTGTTATGTTTTGGATTTATGACCAAACAATGTTAATAACTGAACAGTGCTAACTCAGCAAAAAATTTTTTTTCTCACTCTGGTGCCCCAGTGAGTCAACTACGAGTGGGCAAGTGGCTGAGAGGTGACAGGGCTGACATATTGCATCCAAACAGACAAAAGGAATATGCTATAGCATATAATGTCACGTTCAGCAGTAAAAGCTGGAGACAGGGGTTGAATGGCAGTGAGTTTTAAGGTCTCTAGTGCTTAGAGACTGAATGTGGATCAATTTGTGGTGAGCGAGTGCTTTTGCATCACTGGTTTGTTTACTTCTTCTTTTTAAACTGTGTTTATCCTGATGCATGAGTTTTCTCACTTCTGCCTTTCCCTTTCTCTTCCCATCCTGCTGTGGGAGACTTGACTGCGGGGGACTGAGCAACCTGTATGAGGCTTAGCTGCCTCCAAGTGTTAAACCACAACAGATGTTGGTAATTTTTCAGTCACTGAAATTTCTACCTCTCAGTTCCATTAGTAATTTAAGAACTAACCCCTAATGGACTACTAGGCAAGGCACCTGGTGTTACCAACTTGCTAGTCACTGTCTCATCTAACTTTGTTCAGGTGGTCATCTCATGCATTGGAGACATGGAGCAGAATCACTTATGAAAAAGAAATCACAAAAATATAGCAGCCTTTCTGGGTAGTGTGATGGATTCAAGCACATCATTCTCTGCCTGTCTTTCACAGCACCTAACATGTATGTCAATGTTCCCAGTATGGTTTGCAGGTATGAAAAAAAAGATACGTAAAAAATGCATCACATTTTTTCTTACCGTATATAGTCTCTCTCTAACATGACAGAAGGGCACTACAGATTCTACAGTCAATTTACAGTAATTGCTGTGACTATGATTATGAAAATTACTGGGAAAAGGCAGGAGTCATGCAATTGAATTTTATTTTCATAACAAATGCAGGACAACATAGATTAATCGGATGAAGCTTGCCAAGATCTGCCTGCAGGGAGCAATCTTGGAATTCTATAGGGGCTATTTTTCACCTCTGGGCTCTTCAGTGAATTAAGTTATGCCACCTGACAAGTGAGCAGTAGTCAAGCAATAACACGCCCTCTAGGGCGATAAGACATATATATAAGACTAACCAGGACCTACTGGATAAAATCCTTTCATGAGCACTTCACATAATCACATTTCTTTCATTTCTCAATTTCATTTGAAAAGTAGCTTATTTTTTGCATCTGCTGCTGTTATGGCATTATAAGAAGTTACTGAGTTTCTTAATTTTCTTTATTTAGAATAATCTTCAGATTGCTAACCTCAGTTTATTTGTAGAAGTTTCCTAAACATTATTTTGTGTAGTTCATCTTTAAATAGGATTTTTTCCTTCACTGGTGTTAACTTCTGATATTTTCATAGGTAACAGACTTCTCAGAATTCATTTTACTAGCCTGAATAAGCCATTTTTTCTAGTCTCTGCTGACAAAATAAAAATTCCCCTCCTTAAATGGTCCTAATAGACATATTTTGCATCTGTTCTCATCTAAAATTACAGGATAGTCCTCCTGTGACTGCTAGATTTGGAGTTTCATTTATTTCATTTTTTTTCATTTAATGATCT